AGTATCTTATGATTCTCTTGAGAGGTGGTCCCCTATATTTTTGTAATTCCTCTCATAGGAAGTCTCTGATTTCTTGTGATTTTTCGGCCCTGTTTGATATGGATGTGGATTATAATGTAGTATCACAAATTCGTACACTGTTCTTCTATTTTTCTCATAATCCTCAAATTGCGTAGGAAAGCGTTCTGCTTATCTGTTTTATGTTAAAAAATACCATGCCATTGCTTTAAAATTTCACCATCAATATTTCTCTCTCTCTAAGCATCGGACTTGAAATCGAGAGAACTGCTGGCCCTTCACCCTTCATGTATCCCCTTAAAATGGCAGGAGTCCCTAACAGATGCCTATATCTTGATTTTCTGTGTTTGACAATTATAATTTATATCCGTGTTTGATCTGTATCAGGCTGTATATGTTCTGGGTTGAATGCAAAAGGCAAGATCAATTTTGCAAAAAAATCTCCATACACGAGTCACTTGATTGGCTTACTACTAATGGTCTTCTTTCCTAATCTTTATCTAGAAAATTTTACTATTTGTTGGAGAACTTTGGAAGGTAGGAATAAGTTACTTTTTTTAGAATGAGCAACCTAATATGAATGATTTCATTTTTCAAATTAATAATGTGTTATATGATTTTTTGGAATGTTTATAATTGTAGTAGGCAAAAAGTCATTTTTGGTCCTTGTAGTTTGCCACTTTTACCACTTTGGTCATAGTGGTTTCAATTTGGTCAATTTGTTTGTGTGGTTTCAATTTAAAGCAATTCAAGGACAATTCTCTATTTCTGTCAATTTCTTTTAACTTATGTTAGTTGTGAAAGGGTAATTCGGTTCACAAACTATTTAAAAAATGCATCCCTTTTAAAAATAAATAATACAAATATAAATTTAAAAACTTAATTTAAAAATAAAAATAAAACCTCTACCCCCTTCTCCCCTCAACCCCAACGCCCAGCCACCGGAGACATTGTACTCCACCGCAACACCCACGCCCCATTCGTTTGATTTCTAGATCTCGATCGAGGTCAAGATCAAGGCCTCCAAGTGAAGTTGTCTCTGGTGAGGGCTTCAAGGACTCTTCTCAAAAGTCCCGGGCGCTAAGAAAGCCCAAAAATCTGTTAAGAAGACACATAAGGATGCCGGGCGTGGAGAGGCAGATTCTCACTTTAAAACCAAAGCACTTGTTCTCTGGAAAATGATCAATTGGAAAAACCCAAGATATTTCAGGTACCCCTTGCATCAATTTTGATTAAGCCTTGTCTTTGTTTTGAGCAACCCTTTAGTGGAAAGAAAAAGCACAGTAAATCCTATAGAGTAACTTTCTAATTCTTGTCTGACAGTTCACCTTGGGGTTGGGTGTCTGCACTAAACTGCAATTACATAATTTTTTTGTTTGTTTGTTTGTTTTGTTTTTGTTTTTGTTGGGTTTGTAGGTACAGAGTTGAAGTTTTCAGTCCCCAGAGATTGAGATTTTAGGGCTACACATAGAAAACATGGGGACTGAGAGTTTTTTCAATTTTAAGATTTTACTTTAATTTTTTTTTTTTAATGAATGAATTTTTAATAATTTGTTGACCGAATTGCCCATCCACAACTAACAGAAGTTAAAAGAAGTTAAAAGAAGTTGACATAAATTGAGGATTGTCCTTGAATTGCTTCAAATTGAAACCAAAATGACAAAATTGAAACGACAAGTACTAAAGTGGTAAAAGTGACGAGGTATATGGACCAAAAGTGACTTTTTGCCATTATAGTATAAAGAATAATACTACTAAATTTTGAGGTGAGGTTCCCATGGGATCTCAATATTTTAAGAGTGTTGTTATTTCTGTACCCGTCTTATTTCTCTACCCACCTTATCTTCTCTCTCATAATGTAAATTTGAAAAAACACAATCATATCTTTCTACCCACCATTATTCCTATAATACCCATTAATTATTAATTCAAGAAAATTCCTTGTGCTAATCCTTAACACAAATGTAACACTATTAACTTTTAAATAAATAAAAAAATATTGACCCCCCCCCCCCAAAAAAAAAAAAACCCTAACTTTCCCATTGTGGGAGCAAATATTCCAGCTTCCAATCACAAGGCGTCACATGGATAAGAAGAATATCACCTAGGCCATTAATTGGGCCAATTTATTTGGCCAATTAATTGAGACAAAAAATAGGGATATTATCTTTATTTGGGAATATAATCACCAATTATAGATAATATCATCAATTAGGGATTTAATCATAATCAAAATCCTTAATTGACTCAATCTCTCCATTTAAAGGAAATAATATCTTCCTTCCAAATAAGAAGATATTCTTTGAAAAACACTAGATGGCTAGAGCCCTATAAAGATATAGCCACATTCAACACATAGGGTAATTCCAAAACCGTACGAAAAACTCCTCTCTCTCCCTAGCCACTGGCCACTCCCTCCACACTGCTAAGTGCCACCATTCAGGGCTCCAGCCACCCGGATCTCCACGTGAGAAAAACTCCGTTCAGTTTAGCTATTGTCGCATATTTTTTCAAAGATCCAATTGAATTAACTTAGACATCGGAGGGTCTTTTGCCAATACCTCCCCGGTGTGGTCTTTTACTCCTATTTGTTTCGCATGAATTGAGGAAAAGAGAGAAGTCTATGGCATGCCTTGTTAATCAGTGGCGGAGCCACTCCTAGACCTGGAGTGGCCCTGGCCCCCCCATATTTTTACCACTCTTCTATTATATTATATATAATATATAGAATTTGTAATAAACAACTTAGAATTGAAGTTAAAATGTCATCTAAAACAAATTAGATATGACTTAATTAGAAATATTTAGCTCTAAACATGTAAGTATTGAATATTTAAGTGTTTTATATACTTATATTTTCTATTTCGGCCCCCCTAACTTTACAATTCTAGCTCCGCCCCTGTTGTTAATAACATACTATTTAAAGAAAATTTGGAACTTCGCATAAGCATCACCTGAAAGCTTCGAGCATATCATCATCTCTCTTTATTTTTGGCACGAAAAATGTCCAGCAAACTAGCTGAAAGCTTCAAGCATATCATCACCTAATTAAATACGTACAATTGAGGCAAACCAAATATATCTAATTAGTACTTTTTGTTAACAAAGCTGGAAAAAGCAAGAGAAGCAAAATGCTCAAGAATTTGAATATGTTATTGTTTAGAAAGGCTCCTTTTGTCTAGTAAACCACCCCACCTACGTCTTCTAATCTTCAATTGGCCTGCGCTGTACTCAGTAAACCAAGATGTAAGTGACCAAATGTGACAGTTCTATGGTCAACACTTAGTTTCATACCTGGCAAAAGCACATCCTTCGGATAATTGAAACTTTGCCACAATACCCTCTTCACTGTTGTTCCGTTTTGATCGACTCAAGGTTGACTTCATGTAGGACAAAATTGCCAGAATCCAAGGGGGTAGCCACAACATTACTAGTGTTGATATTGGTATAGGCTTGTGGAGCAGTGTAAAGCTGGATAGGGTTCCCAGTACCATTGTGTGTAATTTTGAGGGTTGAATTCATTTCTTCCAAAGTAAGAACTCCCGTAAAAGGGTATGGAATAGGTTTGTCTCCATTCGCAACCCATGCTAATTCATGTAATTTGGCTTGCGCCAGATAGCTAGGTAGCTGGAGTACTTGGAATTGTTATGAGCAGTTAGGTAGAAACCCAAAGTGAACTTCCCATTTGCAGAGTAATCTAGAGTTTCACCTCTGGTTTGAGTGTGTCCATGCCGCTTGCACCACGAGTTAAGGTGATACTGCAGCTAGCCATGAATGACTACGGCAACCACAACGTGTACTAGTTCTGATCCAAATAATGAATTTTTCTGCTGGTTGAAACCTTAAATTGGCTTGTGTTTGTGTTTACTGCAAATTATTCTGACCAGGGTACCTGTGTATCAGGTTTCTATTCAAAATGGAGCCTGTTGATACATATTCAAAGAGCGAAAATTCTGTGGTGCATCGGCTGTACCGGTACAGCCGATGATCCAACGGCTGAGATTCCGTGTTAAAAAAGCATGGCTGAGATTGAATGACTTAATAACCTATTGAGCCCTAGTTATTCAACATGTGAGTGGCATGTGAGGAAAGAGAAAGGGAGGTTTGGAGGATGAAGAAGACGCGCAGAGAGAGCCAAGATGAAGAAGACGGGCAGGTTTGGAGAAGAAGACGCGCGCTCTCCCCTGTAGTTGGCAAAATCGAAAATTCTAAGAGTCCATCCAATCCTTAGCGCCTCCAGGAACTCTTCTCTTTGCTTGCCCAAATCCAATCCCTAGCTCCTCCAGGAACTCTTTTCTCTGCTTGCCCACTGTCTCTGCGTGTTGAAGAACTCTTGGATCTGCTTCACCAGGAAGTCATCTCTCTCAGTTGCCCAAATCCATCCTAAGTGCGTCCAACTCTTATTTGTGCTTGGGAAAAACGCATCTGCAAGAATGTAATGCTCATTGAATTGAGGTCCTCAACTCTTCTCTCTGGTTGCCCAAAACTCATATGCAGATACGGAATTGATGGTGGGTCCAACCTCCATGATGAAATGGTCACCAAATTGGAGTTATTGAATTAATTCAGTTTCTTCTGTTGGCATTGTCTGATATAGAATTTCAATTTCGTAGGGGAATGGATTTGTAATAACAACGTGGTTGTAAAGATTTTGAAGATCCTTGGCTGTTAACGACGACATTTGAGTTGGTGGCAAAAGGAAGTGCAAGGAGGAGGCTTTGAAAGTATGGAAACATCAAGTAAGATTTCAAAGAAACCTCTTTTCTGGTTTAGGACTTGAATGTATTTTGGGTAATCAGTTGATCCAATTGCATGTTTTTTATTGCGAAATAGTTATACGTGGTGCAATTATTGACCTGACTATATGCAATTGCATGAGATTATTCATTTGTGTTTTGTTAAGAGAAAGTATGTTAACACATAGAGTATAATGTAATTTCAGTTTGAAATTATGTTTCTCAGGCATAAAGGGGTGTGGTAAGATGGACAGGGGTGTAGAGACATCAAAGGGTGGTTGTAGTGATTCAGGGTATCTGAGTGGTTGTGAAAGGTCGAGTCACAAGGCACCGGCAACAGAGAGTGGGCATATGTCGGTCGAACATATGGTTAGTCAAAGTAGTGATGATAATGGTGTTGACATGATTGCACCGAGGAAAGAAGATGTTATGGGGAAAGAGTTTAAAACGATAGAATTAGCGGAAGAATATTATATGAGTTATGCAAAGGGCATTGGATTTAGCGTGAGAAAAGACAAATTGGTTCGAAATTCGGAAGGGAAAGTATGTAGGAGACGGTGGTGTTGTTCTAAAGAAGGTTTGAGAAATGAGAAGTTTAATGATCGATCAGAAAGAATTCGACCACCGAAGGCAATTACAAGACAGAATTGTTCTGCCCATTTTTGGGTGGGTTATGAGAAGAAACGTGATGTTTACGTCGTTAGAAATTTTGAACCACATCACAATCATCAACTAGTTACTCCACTTGAATCGCCATATCTCCGATGTAACCGTGTCGTTAGAAAATCCGATTTAGCACAAGCAGTGGGAATGCAAAGAGCATTGTTTAGAACATGTCAAACATATGAGTATATGGTGGACCAATGTGGCGGGTATTTAAATGTTGGTTTTCAAATAAAGGATCTGTACAATAAGTTGGATGCATCACGCAGAGAAATTTTACTCGACGGTGACACAGAAGCCGCACTCTGTTACTTGAAAGCGAAAGGAGCAATGGATCCAGAATTCTTTTGTAAGTTCAGTGTTGACGAGGAAAATAGGCTTGGTAATTTGTTTTGGAGGGACTCCACTTCACTTTTGGATTACATTGCCTATGGCGACGTCCTCATATTCGACAGCACATACAAAACAAATGATTATGACAATCCCCTAGTGTTGTTTGTCGGTTCGAACAACTATCGGTCTACTGTAATGTTTGGTTGCGCATTATTGCAGGACGAGACATTTGAAACTTACAAGTGGTTATTGGAAACATTCATGGCATCCATGAAAGATAAGAAGCCAATATCAATATTGACGGATGGCGATGAGGCGATGCGTAAAGCCATTGATGATGTGTTTCCCATGTCTAACCATCGGTTGTGCTCATGGCATGTGTCAAGGAATGCACAAAATAACTTGAAGGATGATGAATTGCTAAGAAATTTTTAGGCATGTATTTGGGAACCATTTGCATTGGACGAGTTTGAGAAGAAATTGGAGGTTTTTAGGGAAGGAGCGAGTACTCCGAAACAAAAAGAATGGTTGGAAATGATGTATGAAAAAAGAGACTCATGGGCTGAATCATGTATGAGAGGAAAGTTTTTCGGTGGTATGTGCACCACTCAACGTGTGGAGTCCATGAACAAGTATGTGAAAGATTACTTGAGGAAAGGCGTGAAGTTGTTTGAATGTATTCCAGCAATCGATAGGGCTATATTACGTCTTAGGAATAACACGGCGAATGATGGTTTCAACGTAAAATACTTAACACCAGTCCTTAAAACCGCATTGACAAAACTAAAGCAACAAGCTTCTCTGATTTACACGCATAGGTGCTTTGTATTGGTACGTCATGAGATCGAATCTTGTTCA